TCTCATAAACTGATGGACTCACCAATTTCTAACTGGTGCCAAAGGAATCGTCTTAGCCCCGAGTTTTGCACAAATACAAAAAATTTCACCCAATCCATTAGGGAACCTGGGTATTTTGCGAAAACACTTTTACGGGGATTCCTCGAAAGTGAACCCCAAATTTGGCATTGATTTACATAAGAGCACGTAAATAAGTACGCCTATTAATTATCATCCTAAATTTGGTTAAATAAATTAAATTCCGCATTATAGCGGCAATGATCATTAAATTGGAAAAGTGCAAAATAGCAGTTGAAGCATCAAATTTTCATAATATCTGCCCTGTAAATGTGGACCATAGGCCCACGGGTTCGCTAGTTGACCTATAACTATCATTCTTTTTGCGAATCTTAGAAACTGCTAAAACTCTTGGAGCTATATAACTTGAGGGTATTAACGCTTTCCTTTCCTGTAGGGTTAAACACATACTGCCTTTAATTTTATCAACTCATGAAACTTATTAGTAGGATTATTCTTAATTATGTCATAGGGACCATTTTGTAATAATTCTTCAATTTTTTATCATAATCGGTTTCATTTATTCTCACAGTATGTTCACATTTATCTGTTTTGGAAATCACAATGTTTTATGTTTTAAATACTCCATTACTACTTTTTGTTTCAATCTAGGAACAAACTTCAAAACTAAATTAAAACAGTCTGACCTAATAATTTTTTTATTGATATCTTTCACTTTCGGTTCACTTGTTTCAATCTCTGTAATAATATCTTATTTTTGATAACTTATAGGACTATATGCAAAAGCTAACCCTTTATTTAATACTAGCATAAAATACCCACGCTTCGTTGCGGGATTTTAATGTCCCCTCATTATTCACAGAGGCCTCAATGTACCAGTCAAGCATCTCCATTATCTCAATTACTTCTACAGCTATTTCAGTGCACCATAGGCCCGGCATGGCCAGGTGGTTAGGGCGCTCGACTCGCAATCTGAGAGTCGCGGGTTCGAATCCCCGTCACACGAAACATGCTTGCCCTTTCAGCCGGAGAGCGTTATAATGTTACCGTCAATCCCACTATTCGTTAG